CTCGAGCCACTAAAGGAGCACAAGCAATCGGAGCAAAGTAGCTACATGCGCTGATGAAAGAGAAAGGAGAAGGAATCCTAGGACAGACCCTTAGGGGTATGAATTTCTCAGCTCTTTCATTTCCAGGATAAAGCTGCAGCGCTCCTGGAGAGTTCAAGCATCTTTTTCCTGCCAAAGCATAGAATTTGATTTCACATACATCAGCTTCTGAATAACATGCCGTTCATTACCATCAACTTCAAAAGCGCCATTCTTGCTGTATTTTTTCTTTCACAATTTTTTGTCTACCTAGCCACTTTTCATGCCACCCAGGGGTGCTTTCGATTTAAAACAAAAGGCCATTTCTCTAATCAGTGTCTCTACAGTTGGACACTCCGATGGGCGAGTCTCCCTTTCCCATCACCCCGGAGCCGCACCTTCACAGCCCTTCTCCTGGACATCGCTGCTGGGGTCCAGAGACTCAGGCTGACACAGGACAACCCTCAGTATCATGTGCTTTTATGAAAGAAAGGTGTGCAGGGGAGAAGAACAAAGGGAAGGGACCATGGGCACACCTGAGCTGCAAGGTGGGAGGGTCGCTCACACCTCCTGCACACCTCATGGTGACTCCCCGAGCTGCTAACACGAAGTGGGAACGGTGGCTCAGCTGCTCACGGTGTGGGGGAAATGGGGAAAATAAGCCCGTTGGTCTCGGGGTCACCGAACCAAAGCAGTGCCATGGTCGAAGGGGTTAATGCTGAAGAGGTGACTCCCCGAGCTGCTAACACGAAGTGGGAACAGTGGCTCAGCTGCTCATGGTGTGGGGGAAATGGGGAAAACAAGCCCATTGGTCTCAGGGTCACCGAACCAAAGCAGCGCCATGGTCGAAGGGGTTAATGCTGAAGAGGCGGCAGACCCTCCTGCTGGTACCGGCAGCCTGCTCGAGGGCTCGGGGGCTGCGGCTCTGGCATGGCAGCATGTGAGCAGGAGTCACAGGAGTCCTGATGGTTTCAGGGCCCTGATTTTTGGGTGCTCACCGTAAATCACTTCGAGAATGAGCTCACCAGTGACCTTCCCACAGGAGCTCATAAGCATCTGTGTTTCAGCTCTCGCAAAAGTTCTCATCCAGTTTTGAGAATCCCATCCCCTGTCCTTCCTTGCTGCAGACCCAACGTATTACCGGCTGCAGGAGAGCTGCAAAACTCCCCTTGACTCCAACCAGCTCTAGACGAGCACCCGCTAGGACAGGACACCCATCGGGACCTGCCTGCGTTAAGCTACAAATAATGATATTTGCCCAAAAAGCCACATCAGGAGCTGGAGGACTTTGTAGGTCGTACGTACCTGACCATGCCAAGCAGCCCCTTAGCAATACCGCAGATAAAAGGTGCATAGAACAACGTGTTTCTCATCTCCACAGTATTTCTGTGCACAGATATTCCGATTCAGATCCAATGGTTTTTAAACATTAAACTGCAATTTTTAAACCCTAAATTCTGCTGCTCTCCAGCTATAATACCACAGGAGCCACATCTCACTGACCTGGAGGGAATGAGTCAGGAAGAAGGTACAGGAGGCCCAGGACAGTCCACGTGTCCGGTCTCTATTAATCAAGAACACAGGGGCAGGCACAGTGTGATAGAAGTTGTGGGAGCAGGATGGGTTTTGTAGACTACACATCCCTGTAACCCCCTGAGCTGTTCTGCTGTTGGTCGCATCGTCCCCTGTCTCCTTCCGATGCAACCCCAACTCCCAGGGTAAGCTTTCATGGAAGGGGCATCGCTTAGTCCTGAAGCCAGTCTTCTCATAGCTGAGGCTCTGAATCGCCATACCTTTCTGTCCCTGCATAAACTGACATAAAACTGCCTGGGAAATGCCTACATGTGAGAAAGCAAGCAAGTAAGGATCAAACTCTGGATGTGAGCCTGCACAAATAGAAAAAGGAGACTTAAACAAAAAAGCCCCGTCGTTTACAGTAACACCACCACAATTTGCATGTACAAATGCTTGTTCACACAAAGAGAGGGGAGGCATTAGGATGGTAAAATAGCATCGCACATTTTTACCAAGTTTGGAAATGCAAGCCATCGCAATTGCCTGTTAAGGCTTCTGCGCTTGCAACAGTGGCCGGCAGCTCGGGCCATCCTGGGAAGATCTCTTCCTGGTACAAGAGGAAACGCAGCCTTGACCACTTCTACCTGCCATTTTGGTCAGAAAATTAACTGTACGTTTGGTTGCCAGAACTAGCCCATGCACCAGGGCTCGACAGCCTGCTGCCTCGCATGGCACAGCACAACCCCAGCACGGCAACGAGGGGGGGAAATTCAGCAGCCTGCGACAGCGCTTTGTTCCATGGAACAACAGGCTGTCACTGCAGGCTCAGATTAATCACTTCCCTCCAACCCAGACACCTAGAAACCAAGCACTAAGCTTTTCCCAAGTGTCTGAAGTGTCAGCCTTCACTGGTACGACAAAGCAGGGCTGGATCTTGTGGGGACTCCTGAGTAACCCCTGCACCTTCCCCAGAGACCACCGTATGATGCAATCCTTGTCCGGCACATGCGCGCATGTGTCCGTCTCAGGGCCAGTGGTTATTCTGGTGTTTGAGACATCTCAGATCTCACAGGTAGACCACTTTTACTCCTCCCTATGTCTGCTAAAGCTGGGCAATGCCTTTGCTTCTCAGAGCAGCCCAGACAGCCTACAGGAGCAACCTTCCTCCAGCTGATAGATCAACAGCGAGCCACCGCAGAACGCCAAGGAAGGCTAGAGCCATCAGCGTTTTTTGCTAGTTCTGCCTTTACGGAAGAAGAAATTAATTTCCAGGAGGGGCCAGAAGCACCGCGGGACGTAGAGCACATGCACTCATTGCAAATGGATGCACAAGCCCTTCCACGTAACAGCGCAGCGCGGGCGGGTGGAGAAAGGGCCCGTCCAGCTGCTCGGATCGCTGTCTCCCCACGCCTTGGCCACCGTGCCCGGTGTCCACGGAAGGTGGAACAGTCTCGGGTCCGCAGGGCATGTCTCTGAGCACCCGCTCCCTGCTCTGCAGGTGGTACAGGGGCAGCGGCAGGGCTCTATTGAAACGAAAAAAGGAAAAGCTATCTCAAGTAGCAACCGGAGATCCCTGGCAGGAACACGTGTATCGCAGATATAAAGGACTGCAATGGGGAGAAGGGGCAGCGGCTCCATATCCCTCGCTATACCCCCAGTTGTATTATCAGGCGAAGTGAAACTGCATCTTGACAAGCGCATTCACAAAGCAGAAAACAGGAAGCACTCGGGTAATTATTTAAACAGCAAAGAGTTTTACTTTGAATGCAAACAATTAAATTAATTTCTGTCTTTACGTTCCTTTTGCTGCAGTTAACTCCTGCATCTCTTTCTGCTGCAAAATTCATAGAAAACCTTATTGTCACATGCAAATCACGTCCCCGTTTGAGAAGCGACTGAGCAGTTCCCTTTAAAATCAACAGAAACACAGAGCCGTGCTTTAAGCAAACTTACCAAAAACTCTTCTACAAACTCTTTTTGGTTGAGCTTTTTGCTTTGGGCTCTTTTCAGGTTTTGCAGCAGAATCTCGCTTTGGTCCATGTTGCCGGAGACCGAGCGTGACTGGCCTGCTGAACCTGGGAACGGACATGTCAAATGCACGCCGCAGCGGAAAGCACCAGCCCGGAGAGCACTCGCAGCAGGCTGTGGTTTACTGACTTCATCACAAGTCTTAAAGGAAATTAGTACGTAACAGATATCGTGGTCAAATAACAAAACAAAACACGTAACCTGGAGCCCTAGCGCCTCCTTTTAAAACCACCCGCACGTTGTGTGCGCCCCGTGGCGAGGGTGGGCAGCGCAGAGCTGGGCAGGAGCCTTGTGCGTGAGCAGAGCTGCCCGGTCCTTCGGCCACGACGTGCCTCCAGCGTGCCTGGCTGTTTCCCCACACGCTGTGCCGCGGAGATGTTGGAGACCAGAGCCAAGCACCCCAATATCTGACTTCTTCAAGCACCGTGACAGCCGCCACCAGCAGCACAGCCCTGCTGGGTCGCGGACTGGAGGGGCGAGCGTGGGGGGCAGCAGCTGAGTCCCCTTCCCCGGGGCTGCGCTTTGCTGCCGGGCGGCCGTGGGGAAGGCAGCTTGTGCCAGAAGAGAGGGTCAAATCTGACTCCAGTAGACTATAGAAATCCAATTAATTATGCCAGCCTAAATTCACCTCACTCGCTCACACTTACAGGTACTTTAAAAAACCCATAGGGCAAAGAGGAGGTCATTCCAAAGGGGGAAGGAGATGCAGAGAGCAAAGTTCTCGAAAGCCATCCATTTTCTCTACTCACAGAAGCAGGAAAAACTAAACTAAACTAAAACCAAGAACCTTCAAAAAAACCCCAAAAAACCCACAAAAAAAAAAGGTATGGAAATCACAACATGGATCTTTCCAATATCTCACGTTTTGCACAAAGACTTCAGCCTGGCTGCACCAGGTCTGCCTCTCTTTCCGATTGTAACTAGTCATTAAACGCATTCCCCTTCTGTGTTTTCTTGCAGATCGGGTACAGAATAGCTACAAGATTTCTGTATCAGGCTGCTAAAGGGCAAAGGGCTGCCAATCACTCTGAAAGAGCGATCCCTCTTAGTTTAAAACAATGTGAAGTTCTAATTTTGCAAAAATAAACCTTTGAACCACCTGAGAGGAACAGACAGATCTTTAGAATAACTAACAGAAACGTGTTTTAAAACGAATATTCACCTGATCAGTCTGCAGCACTAAGCACTAACCTAGAAACCTTGAATAAGAGTGAATCGCACTTTTATGGCTAAATTCAAGAGAAACACACAAAGAAGAACAAATTAATAACAATAAACATTTATTAATTTTTGCTTGCAGTGATACGGAATCTCTTTTACATGGTGCTTTTGTGTGGAGTTCTGCTTGCAGTCTCCTGAAGAAATACAGCAGCATTTCTCCCAGTTAAATCAATGAACAGCCCAGGTTCACCTTCTGGAAAGTAATATAGCCGTTTCGCTCAGTTGTCCAAGTTCTCCTGAAAACAAACAAAAACCCCTACGTGCATGTGTTTTAGAGAAAGAATTCAAGGCAGGTTTAAAGGAACCAGCAGAAAGACGAGGATGCGGGATGGCGGGACAAGTGACCTGCCTCCCGCTGTGACCCTCTCCCGGACCGATGCCATCCCTTCCCCTGGTAAAATGCACCAAGCGGGGTCTGTAAAGCTGCGTGAGCAGGACGGCGCTTTTTGTCTGGCCCATCCTTCTTTATTTTGATTCTCATCTAAGGTAGCAAGCTGAGCTCCCAAGATAGCGAGATAAGGAATTAAACCCTGAGATAGAGAAGCAGATGGGAAGTTTGATGCCGACTCCAGCAAGACTTCACCGAGGTGCTCAGCAAAGCCGTACCCACAGCTATACGCGGAGTTAGCTGGTGCGCGTGTCTCGGGGGACACACCGGGTACCAGCGACGAGCCGAGCGAGGCAGGTGGGAGACGTGAGAGACACAAAGGAAGAGCCATGAACATCCAGGCAAACATCACCACCACCTTCACATCCTTACCCATCCGCCGCAGGCCTCAATGTGGTTTCTCACTCGAGAATTTCCATTAATCGCTTTTATGAGTTGGATGGGTTGCACCATAGCTGAGACTTTCTTAATAACGTGCATTAGCAATTTCACAGAAACACAGAGAAAAGCTCTCTCATAGACCAGCTCGGGGTTCTGGTCACACCAACTCTGGCTGAGAGTCTCCACGGCAGACCCAAACTTCTCCATCTGTAAGCGTCAAGAGGGCACTTTGAGCTTCTTTTTAGATGACAGTGTGCTAAGTAAGTCTAGGTTCAAAATGCAACATTCAGGTAAATTCCTGCTTCTACCCATGACTACAGCAGGTGACCTCATAGCTTTGTGGTGATGCCCAGACAGCGCGGACATCGAAGGCAGGGCTCTCCTTTACTGCGGCTTGTACGAACTGCAGCACGGTTGAGGGACCGGGGAGGACAGCTGGTAGTTTAACCAGAGCTGCAACGAACCTGAAGCTGGAACTGCCTGCAGCGCTGGCATGAGAGCTCTGGCTGCAGGGCAGGCTGCAGCACCCGCTCTGCCTCTCTCACCACAGTCTTCCTCCTTTCCCCGTCGACACACTGGCTGCCCCCGCCGCCCCCAGACTGTGGAGCATCTCCTGCAATGGCAGGGTGACCCAGGCAGCTCCAGGGCTTCTCAGGTGATAAAAAGCAGCTCCTCTGGGAGAGAGGAGGAGAAAAGGCAGCTCCCTCAGTGCCTCCTTCAGCTTCGGTCCTGCTGGCTCGCACGCTGCCCGTGACATGGAAGTGGTGGGAGGCTGCCTTCCCCTCAGACCCCCCCAACTCCTGCAGCGCAAGCCGTGCTGCTCCCTAGGCTTTTGCTATTTTCCAGCACAAGGCTGGCCTACAGACAAGGAGCAGGCCAGGCGGGACAAGGTGTGCTTTACCTTCCCCTTGAGCACTTCAGCAAGAGCCTCTGAGGAAACGTTTTCAAAATCCATGTTGCACTGGTCCCCCATCCGCCGCAGGCGGCTGGCGATCACGACTGGGTCAAACTTGGTTGGAAGCTCCTCCGCAGACTGCTCGGGCTCTGGAACAGCACAACGTACTAAAGATGTGGGAAGAGAACAGATGCTGACAGCCCAGCCTCTTGAGCTGCCTACTGCGTCCAAAGCGCGGCCTTCAACGGCACTATGGTTGTCACAGGCGCTCGGGAGGTGAACGCAGGGTAGACCTCTGACAAAGACGCGTTAGGAAATGCAAAACCAAAGTCCCAAAGAAATATCATACAGCCATTCAAGTATTCGGTGATTTACAGGGGCCAAGGGGCTCCGTACCACGGGTTTGTCCAGGTCTCCTTCCTCCCACCTTGGTTGCTTCATGCTCGTGTCTCGGTTCATCCCCACTCCTGTTTTGCCAAGGGCATCCCTGAGGGCTCTTTTACCCCTCCGGGTTCCGGCAGCTCCTTCCTCCCAGGCTGCCAGAAGCAAGCGAGGAAGGTCAGAGGACTCGGAAGACATCTCCTGTCTCTCTTCTGACTGCAGTGACACAGCAGCATCGATCGGACAGGAAAGTCTCGCCTGCATTTCCCCAGTGTTTTGAGGCTGCGATCATGGCGTGCAGTCTTTGGAGAACTTAGATATTATACTCAAGGGCTCTTCTGAGCAACTGCAAATTGCAGTATTTCAAAGTCTCATAGTGACTCAAATTTGGGAAGGTTTTCACAAAGGAGCAAAAGGCATACTTCACAAATTTCAAGTATATAAACCCATTAGAACTTCTCAGCTAAACTACTTAATGGGGTGGGGGGGTGTGCGTGGTGTGTGCACCTCAGTTAAAATATTTTTCCCTTAATGCATCCTGAAGGGGGAAAAAAAACAACAACAGAGTATTATTTATTTTTTCTGAATATTACCAAAACAGGGTTCAGCTAGAAGGAGCTACCCAACACTGAAAGTTTCAGCAAAACCATTTCCACATTTGACAAAGTCAAGAGGAACTGAAAGCAGGATCTTTCGACAGAAAGCACCGGGCAACTTTATCTGGAGACATCGCTTCCTGATCCAGCCCCCCCTCCCTCACCCAGCCACTAATTCCACCTTAGCTCGTCAGGCTCAGGCGCCTGCGGCCCTGGGCAGAAGCCTGCATCCCCCGGGGCTCGGGGGCAGTTTCACAGCTCTGGACAGGCACGAGCATCTGATCCAGGAGAGGGAAACGAGCAATACGCTGAGACTTTTTCTTTAGGCAAACCAACAAACTTCCATGAAGCTTTGGAGAAATGGACTTTGCTTGCTAGGCGGTGTCAGCAGGATCCCAGTACCTCCTGGGATGTTTTAACTGGTTTGCTGCTGACAAAGTAATGGGAAAAGCGATATGAACGCAGGTGAAATTCTGGGTTTCTTGCAGCATTGCCCAGCAAACCAAAGTAGCCCAAATGATGTTGGGAGCTTTGTGAAGCAAAGACCACATTCTGTCTTAGACGTTAAAGCAACTGGTTTTATCCAATAAGCAGTATGAGCTTTCTTTTTGGTAATGACAGTTAAAACTTGTCCCTCCCCGTTAGTTGGGAGCAAGTTACTGGGGACCTGCAGACCCGCGCGGGGCACAGCAGCCGGCAGCACCGCTACCAGCACCCGCAGTCCCCAGGAGTGGAAAGCGGGGTGACCGTCCATCCCAGCCCCCATTCCTGACCCTGCCAAGGCAGGCTGCAGCTGTGGGCTGCCCGGGGTTCAAACAACTTTACCTTGCTCTAACTTTTCCCCCAGAACAGAGATAACTTGGAAACCATCACAAGGCTGCATTTTAGGAAACCCAAGGACCCCAAGCTACAGCCTCCTTCTTGTAAGCGTTCAGTCAAAACTCCTCTGTCATCTGCAGCAAACCAACCATTTTTAACTCCCACACCTGCCCTACCTCCCAAGTCTGTCTCCAGGCTCCGGCAATCACTCTCATCTCCACCTAGGAGGTCAGAGAACAAGGCTTCCACGACGCACTCCGTCTGCTCCTCGAAGGTTGCCATCGCAGAGCGGGCAGGAACACCACCACAGCTGCTGTGCTTTGCAGGTGAGCTTTGCCTCTTGGGTTTGGCTTCCTTCACCCAGAGTTGCACAGCTTCTTCCTTCTGGGAAGAGTATGACCCAACTCCTCCCCAGGACAGCAAAACATGACAATATTTGCTCTCTTGTCATTCAAGCTATGGGCGTGGTTAGTTTCAAAATAAGTAATTTCTGTTAAAATCAACTGAAAGGACAGACATTGAGCTGTTGGAGCGAGTCCAGAGGAGGGCCATGAAGCTGATCGGAGGGCTGGAGCACCTCTGCTATGGAGACAGGCTGAGAGAGTTGGGATTGTTCAGCCTGGAGAAGAGAAGGCTGCGGGGAGATCTAATTGCGGCTTACCAGTACCTGAAGGGGCCTACAGGAAAGCTGGTGAGGGACTGTTTATCAGGGAGTGTAGTGACAGGACAAGGGGGAATGGGTTCAAGCTGAAGGAGGGTCAGTTTAGATCAGGTGTTAGAAAGAAATTCTTGACTGTTAGAGTGGTGAGGCCCTGGCACAGGTTGCCCAGAGAGGTTGTGGATGCCCCTGGATCCCTGGAAGTGTTTAAGACCAGGATGAGGCTTTGGGCAACGTGGTCTAGTGGAGGGTGTCCCTGCCCACAGCAGGGGGGTTGGAACTAGATGATCTTTAAGGTCCCTTCCAACCCAAACCATTCTATGATTCCACGAAAGAAATATTTACAAGTTATCAGAGACTCCTGACCTTTTTATTCATCAAGAAAGGGGTGTGGATAAAAGGCTAGAAGCTCTAAGTCCCATCCCAGACTCGGTCTAGCCACAGAAGAGTAAATGATAGCTTGCCAACAAGCAATCAACTGTATTTTTTTTTCCTGAAAACAGCATAATGCTAGTGCTCCAACACAGCTTTCCTTACGGACAGGAACACATGTACATGAAGACCCTGGAAACTGTGAATAGGAGCCCTGCTACAGCTACCTACCTTTGAAGTCACCCCTAGGTAGCTCACCAGTTACAGTAATTTGGCACAAGACTGAAATAAATTGTTGCACAATTGCTCCTTAAAGCCTCGCTTCAAGGAAGTTGGAAGAGAAAAACCTTGTCTGGCACGCAGGCAGGAGCCGAACTGCAGTCCCCTCCAGATCTACGGTAGCGATCAGGTGGCTCCATCCCACAGACTTCAGACTTGAATGAACAAGTACTCCAGAAAACAGCCAGGAATATTTCACATTTTTGTTAGGAAAAATCAGAAATAAAATCTAAACCCCGTTGTTTAACAGCGACAGCAGCGTTTCAGTGAAGTGCGTGCAAGGTATATTGCAATTTAAAGGTACAATACAGTCATTAAAAGAAATTCAAAATTACAAGAAATCTTACAGAACAGGGTTAACAAAGCCACTCCTCACAGCGTACCACAAAGCCCCATTACAGTAACCGACGTACCTCAACTGTAAGCCAAGGAGCCTTCTGCAGGGTTTTGCCGTGTGTAAACCGCGGCTGTGAGCACGACACTTTGCACGACACTGTACAAAGTCCAACTCTCCGTAACTTTCAATAGAGCAGATGGTGTGCTGTCGACATGCTCATCAAAAAAACAAGTCCCGAGGCTGGCCAGAATATAACTTTAAAAACTGTAAAAACTTAGTCACAAAGCACTGCACCGTCTCGTGTGCTGTACTGTGAGGACAGGATGACAGTACTGCACAGGAATTAGTACACAGAAAAGAAACCCTTTAAATACCCATTCCAGTTACAAAGTAACAAATGGTAAAAATCAGTATCAACAAAAAAATTAATAGTCCATACAGGTTAATTATCTAAACAGCAATTCTTCCATTATTGGTGTGAGCACCACGGACTGACAGCTTGCTGACACAGCCAAAGTGGTGCAGGCTACAAAACTCAGGCCACGTTAACTCACGCAAACACATCATGCACACTCCTGCATTTTCTTACAGTAGCCCTGAGGAGGGAATTTCAGAGAGGGTGATTCATGATTACAGTAACACATTTCAACTAGAAAATACACTTCTTTCTCTTGAAAAAGAATCATGCTGTTTCTAGTGAGCACGATGTACCCTGCTCTCCCATCTCTGGCACAGCGGAGCTGCGTTCACCCCTAAGTGAAGCTACTATCGAGATCCGTCTATCAGATGGAAAACTAAATCATATGTAAAGGGAGCCAACAACTAAATACTGCTCTCCACTGCACTGTTCTTCTTAATGTGAGATAAGTAGCAGAGTCCTGCAGGCTCTGAACTATTTACAATTCTCATGAACAATCTCTCCAAAACACATTCCTGAATTTTGCACGTTTCTGGTTCCATCAGTCACGTCAGTGTCTCGTGACAGTCACCGTAGATGCCAGCACTTCTGTGACTCACGCAGAAGCAGCGGGCTCACGAATGCATTACCTCATCCTTCCCCCAGCCCAGAGGGAGGACAGACCCTTTGTCCTGCCCCGTTCTCCAGCTACAGCCACCCCCACACCACACGTGCCTGCTGGACCCAGCTCTGCTCCAGGAAAGGGCTGCCAACACCTCCGAAGTGTAAAAGTACAAAACCAGCATCTGGCAAATGAAGCCAGAAAAAGAAACTTTTCCTGTGCCCTGAGCAAGCGTCCTAACGGGAGCAGGGAACAATCAGGACCCCAGTCCGGCAACTGCCCCCATAACTGTCCTTAACACTGAGATAAAGGTTTGCAGTGCCTCCGGCTTTGCCTCACTCTGCTTCACTGACACCTGTATTTCCGAATCTGCCGCCTCAAGCAAGAGCTCCGTTAGGAAGAGGCAACCAGTGTCATCCTGAGCACTGAGATAAGCTTTCCAGGGCTGGACGCCAGCTTTGCTCATAGCAATGGTCTGGATGTGGACAACGTGAAGAGCTGTCTGTATGGTGTCTGGCTGAACTGTCCCACACCAGGGCAAAGAGAGGTGGCAGCTCATCTCTAAGCTCAGCCAGGTCTTCTCAAACTCTTCTGCAGTCAGGTAAACATCAGAAATTAAGGTCAGGTTGCCTGTATCGGGATGAGCCTTGAGGATTTCTTTACTCTCTTCAGAAATCAGTGACTCTGAAATTAAACCACAAACACATGAGATGCAGCATATAAGGTGCAGCTCCCAATTTCACAAAGAACATCTTATGGAGCCATCAGATGAAGAGGGCTGGAATCGCAGCCATGCATTGCACAAGTCAGAACACTAAGACAGCATTCTCAAAGCATGGTGATCTTCTTCCAAAGAAAGCCCATGAGAACATTTACTGACAAGAGGAAAACGGATCCCAGATGAAGGTAAGGCAGGTTACCTGTGTCTCTGCTCCTGGAGTCAGTACAAGGAGAACAAGCGTAAGAGGGTTCTGCTGGCTGGTAAGCAGTGACAAGTGCCCAGCGTTCTCTGCCATAAACCAGTGCAAGAGTGTTAAACTCTGAAGCCCAGGTATTCACAGGTCGCTCAGTTTGGTCTTCCAGGAGCCCCAGAGAAGGGTCAGACTTGGGGCTACACAGGACCCGTTTCACTTCTTCCACACCGGACTGCAAAAGGCGATAGTAGAACAATCCACGGTCTCGTACTGCCATATCCATCTCCTCCTCTGGGAATTAGAGGGACATAATTTATGGAGAATTCTATCATCCAGATTAACCCTTCATCACTAAAAACAGATTCCCAGGGATACAGTTAAGCCTGTTATGCTCACCAACCAGACAGCTAGTGACCACGTAGCAGCCTAAGGCACAAAGCCACCTTACCTGGCCATCCTGGATGGCCTCCTCACAGCCAGGATGCCGCCACACGGCACCCACGCACTGGGGCCGCAGCCAAACCAGGTGCCAACAAGGCTGTACTACAGAAACAGAAGGAAGGGAACCTACCTATGCAGTAATAGAGTAGTCTCCCTAGCATGTCCTGACACTCGGCAGGACGAGACAGGAAGAGTCGCACCAATGCTGTCAGAAGCTCCATCTTCACTGCCGAGAACATCTCCGATTTCACGTTCTCCACAAAGTCCTCCAAAACATAGGGGGCATTTGGTACTTTCTCACCATGTGTGCCCAGGAGCCAGATCAGCGCTTGCTTGCCCTGAAGGAACCACAGAAAAAAATAGCAAATAGGCACTGTTTACCAGAAAGACAGTGCTGACATGAAATAGATACGAGAGAACAAGTCTTCTGAAGATTTCTGATCTTTGCCCACCAATCACGAGCCAAAGGAAAGCCAAACAGTCATTGTCCAGCCACCCGCAACAGCTGCCAGCCCAAGGCACAAAGCCACTTTACCTCACTGTCCTGGATGGCATCCTCACAGCTAGGCAGGGCCCGACACACGGCGTCCGTGCACTGGGGACACAGCCAAACCAGGTCCCGAAAAGCCTGTACTACCGCTGCAATGAAACAAAATGATCAGCATTCCCCCCGAGTTATACAACCACTGGGGCGGGGGTGGAAATAAAATCAAAAAAACTCCACTCGAGACTTTGCAAATCTCAGCTACGGAGGTCAGTGCCTTGCTTGTGACTATGATTTGAGACACCCTTCTTCAAAGTCCCATGACACCACGTTTGTCAGAGCAAAGTCGCACCAAGTCTAAAATAAAGCACCGAATCTTTAGATTGTTTCTGTGGCTGCTGGAAAGCAAGCTCTCTTCTGGACATTCCCCAACCTTTAAAAAGACACTGACTCATGATGCTTCAGACACACAAGGTTAAAATGACAAATTTAAACTAACACCAATGCAAAATGAGTCTCATGAACTTTAGGTCAAAATTTTAAAGGCTCTGCTGCCCAACCACAGAAACACCAGCAGCTTCTAACAGCTACTTCAACAGCTGAGTGCAAGCGTGTGATTTTCAAAACTGAAAGCAAGACTATTTAAAAGAGAGGGCAGAAACAGCAATGATATGAAGTTAGACCTGACGGCAGCAGAAGAAAAAGAGAAGCCTGGGTACAACTGAATCAGACTATTATATGAGGAACAGAAATAAAGATTTAAGAGATCTATTAATCACCTTGGCCCTCAGTCAGTCACTAAAATGTCTCTGCTGAGTCCTCACTCCCTAAGTCAGCAGGCGGCAACCAGAAAGGAGCCTCCACATTGGACCACGAATGCAACTATGACCATCTCCCCCTTCATCATGAAGGGCAGTTCCTAAGGAAGGAAAAACTACAATGTCCGGTCACGCTATAAACCCCCCACTCCACCAGAAGACTTCCATCTGAAGATGCCAATTAAATTAAAAGCCAAGTGCCTTTCAGAATCTCGAGTTTGGGACCACAAGCCCCAGCAAGGCCACCTCCTGAAAGCATAAGCCAGGTAAACAACCTGCAGATGATTACCTGAAGTGATATGCTCCTGCTGGAGCCCCAGGAGCTCTGTCAGAATCCCCACACACTGTTCGGTGTACGTCCTTGCGATATTGCCTGCAGAGAAACCAAAGAACATTAAAGTCAATCTTTTATCGGAGTGAAACAGGAACCATGAGCCCAACTATTCATTACAAACTCACTTTAAAGAAACAGTCTTTCTCTTCCCTTTAGACTACAATTTCTGAAAATGTAGTCAAACGAGCTTGTTTCCCACACAAGGGATATGTTCCTTTCTCTGAAGCCACGCCTCAGAAGTCTGAACTTTTCTTACGCGTAACACATAAGAAAGGCATTTTAGCAAACCTGGCTTTCTCCTTATGAATGCTACAGAAACTCACTTATTTTAAAGCTTACAAAACCAAAAGCACCCCAAATCACCTTAACTGTGCCCCCATCACAACTCAAAAAACAAGCAGGTATTAGAGCAGCTCCTCCACCCACTACGCAGTTTCATTCAACACTGTAAAGCTCATTAATAAGATGAAATGACACTATTTCTTTAGAGCATCTCATCAGAGCACAGACACTTGAACGAGATTCAAGGACATCATGCGCAACCTGAAACAGTTCAATACCAGGACTTCTGAAAGCATCGGCACAATCAAGGTTTAGAAACACGCTCGCACAAAACGTTCCTGGGGAGGCTGGTCTACAGGGGGCTGTTCTGCTTCAGCACAGAGCAGTTATTTGGCATTTGCCCAGACATACTTGAGCAGAGAAAGGCCTGCCTTAAAAGGTCTGGGGCTGTGGCTGCTCCTCAGGCAAGACACAGCTCTTACCTATGGCGAAGATTGCCCCTTGGGCAAGCTCTACCGATACATCGGTGCAATAGCCCTTCAGCTCCTCCAGTACTTGCTGTACATTTTCATCATTCACCAGCTCACACAACACCTCCATCTTCTGGCATTTGATGTAGTGGGGCTCTGAATACGAACAGAAGAACTTTTTGTAGTGGCTGCTAAAATGGCCAGGAAGGCTACCAAGGATCTGACGCACATGGCACAGCGCAGTGAAGCAGAGCTCCCTGCTCTCAGAAGTGCAGGCCGACAGCAGCGGTCCCTTCACTCTCACCAAAACATCTGTCTGCACATGTGGGTACTCCCTGGCCAGCATTAGGAAAAGCTTGGTGGCTGCCATCACAACGCTGGGGCTGCTGCTTTTGAGATAGCCATCCAGTAAATTGAGTATGTCGAAGAGTTCCTCCTCACTGCGGGGTCTGTAACGCAGAAGGAAGGTGAGCACCTCACTTTGCCCCCACTGATCCAGATCAGCCATCCTGCCAAGAGAATAAACACAGTTTGCAGGAGTCAAGAAGCGCACCAAGGTCTGCGCGGTGCAGAATAGAGGCCTTAGCATCCGAGTTTTCTTACAGTCTCTGTTCCAAACCGAACGCTATGCTTCAGAAGTAGATACCACAATTTTAACTCAAGAGAATTGACCAGCTTGTGCCCATAGGCTTAACCCAGTATCAGGCAGGTGCACTTTTGCTGGTGCTCTAAGCCAGACAGCAACGTTGACAAGATCCCTGTGCAGAACAATACCCCTCTTTTGCCAGATCACGTAGAATCATCTGCAGAAATGTTAATTTCTTCAAGCAATGGATAAGTTACATCTCTTTCAATGGATTAGGAGAGACGTACTAGAACATACCCGTCCCACAAATGTATCGTACATACTGTCACAAAAAAAGTGATCACATTAACTTACAACTCCAAAACAAACAACCAGCTGAAACGATGACTCCCTGGAAAAGCAGGGCATCTCAGATTTCTCTTAAGATCTTAGCATAACAGTAATTTGGTCTCTCTTAGGATGGGCACCCCTACCTTCGGGTGCCTGACTCTTCCCTTCAAGTTCTGACAAGAGCCCAGAAATACCTGTTTTGCTAGCATGCGAAATGCAAGAACAAGAACGAAGCTTCCAGCACCATCTAAATCTCAAAGACAGCAAACCTGTTGAGGAGATGATGGGCGATGGGTTTGTTGATGACAACTCCTCCCTCCTTCTTCAAGATCTCTTCTAAGGCCCTCAGACAATTCACAACGACAATAGGATCCTGATCACGAAGCAAACTGTATAGCTCATTCACCAACGCCCCATCTGCAAAGAAGCAGAGGTCTCTATATCAAATTCTCTTGCCATGTTGCAATTTAATCACTGTCTGTATCACGAACAACAGATACGGCTTGAACTGGGAGAAGCAGTCAACAAAACTTCCAGCTCTACAATAACGCCCGCCCTTGGCACAGCTTTTCCTGAAGGTCTGCGGATGCGAGGACGGCACCCGGCCGATCAGAGACCGCGGAAACGGCCAGGCGTTGCGGGAGGCAGGTACGGAAGGGGCATGCAGACACGGCACCTGGCAGCGCCTGGTGTTTCATTAACGATTCGATACGCAGCGAAAC